ATTTAAAGGTGTTTAAATTCTTCTCCTCATTTGCCCCAACACAGGATGAGAATGTATTTCCTTTCGGGCTATCACACTAGGGATGCTTCTCTTTCTTTCTTGCCCTTCCTCTCTGGCAGATATTTTTCCTACGTAGGTATTTAAAACCTACCCGCAATTTCATTTTCGTTATCTCCAAGTAAGCACCGCAAATTCACGTTGTTTCAACCACGGCTGAGGAAATAAATTCAAATGCATTCTGCGTCTGGTGACACGGGATGATTGATACAGCCCCGTGCTGTCGTGTCTCTTTGTTCCGCCACAGGCAGTAATTCGATTACACCAAGCGCAGCGCCGACACCTCGCTTTGCAGCGCTCCCGACACCGGCAGCAGCGGGACGGCTCCTCGATTCCCCAGGGATGCCCTGCCCAAGCCGGGATGTCTGCTAGCTGATACCGGTATTCCTGGGTGACTCCAGTTATGCTGTATCGGGGGGATGTGGAAATAGAAACAAGAATAAAACTCCGAATGGAAACCAGGCGCGTGAGCACGCAAAGAAATCTCCAACTTTTACTGTCTCATCACTTCTAACAGTATGGAAAAAATATATCTCTATTAGCCTACAGGGGCAAGCGTACGGTGGACCAGCAATATAAGGTCGGGACTCAGAGCAAGGCAAGCAGTTAACTGGGAAAAACAAAACATGATTATGCTCTAGTAACCTTCATTCAGCAGCCTCTTGAGGGGAAGGAGTTAAAAACTCAGCTATCGTCACACATCTTTTGTCATCCTTTTATTATTTTCTTAGCACAGAACATATTTTGCCCACCCTGAGTGGTGATACCCAGCCACTAACGGGGCGATTTATGGTGAAAACCGAAGAGGAAGGTCTGCTCTAACGGGGAGAGATCTGATAGCCTCTACTGATTTCTGGAGCTTTAATTCCTGGGGCCGGATGGGGGAAATAACAATAAAAATTCCTACTTCTCTGTGCAGAGAGAGAGCGAGCTCCCCAGGCTCTGTGCTACAGAGGAAATGGCATTTCATAAATTAATGTAAAGTTCAAAAATTCGGCAGGACATTGGCATATCAGGGCTGCCTGAATTATAGAGCCCATCGGTTTTCAGCACGTACCTTGGGCTCTGCTCTTCGCTGTCCTTCAGGAAGGAGCCTGCGGACTCCCGACTCGGCGTTTCTGGGGCTGGGCTCAGCCAGGCTGCCTCCAAAGACCCTGAAAGCTCAGCTCAACTGAACTGAAGTTTTATTTTTTTGCTGTTTTCAAGAGCAATCGAGAGATTGGCCTTTTGCACACACTAAATGTGAAATCAGAAGCCCTTAAACAGCTTGAATACGTAGTCATTTATTAAAGTAATAAAAAGTGGACTGGACAAAAGACAAACACATTTAAACCGAACAATTTTTGGAAGTTTAATATAGCTTTAGATAAAACTGAGCTTGCAGTATTAATGAATACAAGAGTTCGTTATTTTGTATAATTCAGATAAACTTGTACATTTATACAGTTATAGACTGCATGCCAGAAAATGCATTTAGTTTATTCTAATTTGAATATGTACAATTTACAATATAATTCAAGCATAAATTCAGCAGTAGAGAACACAGACCGGCTGTGCAATCAAACAATTACTTTTTCTTAGCGTAAGCGTTAGGGCTGGGCTAAAATGTTAATTAGGAAATAAAAAAATGGCCACACCAATAAAAATGAAATATCAACCAGAAATAACTTCCTAAAATGAATAACTAAAGAAAGTTATCATCCATGTTTGTACTTTCACTCTTATTAATGAAAGACGCACATATTGTCCCTTAACATTCGTAATGCATTGCAATACAAGCCACAAGCCTCAGAAATCTTGCGTCCAGCAAGGACAGGTGCATAATTTGATTTTAAAAAATCAAACTTTTCAGTTAATCATAACTTAACATTTTCTATGGCATTAATTTAATAAAAGTGAGGATGCTTTCCCAGTGTTTCACATACTTTCAGATTTTTTTATACAGGCTACTGACTAAGCTGCAGCCGCTCAGATTGCCAGTATATTTTACAGCTATGGCACTTCTCCCTGTCACCTATTTTAAGTTCAATGTGCAGAACACATCCACACTGCTCCTACTTAGCTCAATCTTGTACACAGATTCAACCCAAAGTTTCCCAAAGGAAAAGGCCACTCGGCTCCCCCGAAGGCAGGGCTCTGCCGCCGCTGCGCAGCCGCCCTGCCAGGGCACGGGAAGCCGGGAGCCTTCCCCACGGTTTTCGGGAGGGAGGATGCTGGTGGCCCCGGGGCATGGCTGGTGAAACACCATTGCTCTTAGTCTGGGGACACGTCACATTTACTTTTCCATAAAGAAAAGTCAACCGGACCATGAGCCATCCCCCAAGCTAGGTGCTTCAGGTGGTGGGAGACCTGGGCAGAGATGGGCAGCCCCCAGGTGGGACCCCGATGTCCCGGGGGGGGACACCCCCACCTTGCAGCTGTGCTTTCATACCAGAGCCACAAAACTGGGGGGCCCCAGCACCACGGCAGCGTCACCGAACGGCAGCGGGTTGGCTGGGTCACGCTCCGGCAGCATCCCGGGAAGGAGGCAGCGGTCCTCCACCCACCCTGAATAAACCAAAGGAGTTTTTGAGGAGAGGTCGAGCTGCTGGAGACCCTTCTTTCAAAACCAGACCGATCTGCTCAAGCCTGCTGGCAGGACTCATCGCTCGGCTGTGCCGCTGGCTGAGTGTTTACCATTCCGATTAATGTTCTTGGCTCTCTGGCTTGGACTTGGTGGTGTTTTTACTGCTGACACCTGGCGATTGTACATGGCTATTTTTGCTGTCAGTCGAGGACTGGCAGAAGAGTTACGTGTGGTACAAAAATCAGCGGTATTTTACAAGGCAACCTGAGGAAGTGTTAGCGAACAGGGGGAAAGAAATCCAGGTTTTACCTTGCCACATCAGCGATCTGCTCACGGCGCGTGTAGAGCACAGGATCAGCACACGGGGAGCAACGCACGCCCTTCCCTTCAACAATAACGTGCAGAGAATTGAAGTACAGCCAAAGGTGTAAAAAGCATGCAGTGCCACTCAAAAATCATGACAAATGATGAAAAGAAAGTTTGGTAGTTAGTATAAAGTCCTCGGGTGTACAACTGACGGGTCATACACTGCAACTTCCAGGGAAAGCACGGAGCCACAGCGGTGTCTGAGCCAACTCTCCTGCAGTGCTGAGTTTCTGAGTTCTTATTCCATGCCAACATTTATAACAGAAACAATTTTTTCCTCAAAGATCATCAGATCTGTTGTTATTAGTTATGTAGCAAGCGTCAGCATTCGTGCAGGATGGTCCAGAGCCCGCGAGTCAGAAGTGCCCGTCCACGATTGCAGCTCTGTGTGCACCTCCTGACCCACGCGTGTCCGTGTCTGGCACCACCTGGCTGTGGTCTCAAGGGTTTTACATACAGACGATGTCACGCAGAGCCCTTTTCCCGGCCGCTGCTGGCGGTGGCTTTCGTACCCGGCTCTGTGACGGTGCCACCCACCGCTCCATCTCGCCCAGACCTCCTCCTCCAAGAAGGAACCCCCGGGAAGCCATCACGACCTGGCCCCCAAACACAGACCACAGATCACGGGTGTCCCTGGGCACCGCAACAGCCGACCTCCAGCATTTCGGGGAGGGTCTGGGGCGGCGCGGGGTGCTCCAGCACCGCAAGCCACGATGACGGGGGCATCCGCACAACACCCAACCCTCCTGGCTCGACCCCGCCGGAGCAAAACAAGATGGAAAAGGAAACCCAAACACAAGCACAGAAGGATATCAAACCGAACATTTATACAAAGTATTACTCATTTTGAAACCCACAGGGTCAACTTCAGTTAAGAACATGTTTAAACATTATTTTCACCATAGAGAAAGCAGTAAGGAGCGACGCCACCGGCAGCGCAACCAGCGGCCGGGGAGCCGTGTGCCTGCCCGGGCTTGGGACTTGCCGTGACTCCGCACGGCTCCGGCTGCGAGACCACAGCTCACGCAACCATCGCCTGCATCGCTGCTGGCCCAGCTGGGCCATCAAAGCAAGAGGGAGCGAAATCCGGGCACCGCGGAATTAGGGGGGATCGTGACTCTGCCTTTGGGGTGCAGTTCGTCCAGAATAAATGCCTGCTTGGCTTCATGGAGACATTCAGCTATTTTCATGTTTAGCTATTGAATCAACGTGAGAAATCAAGCACGTCCTGCTTATTTAAAGTGGTTTTCTTGCACATATACTATAAATCACAAAGATTTAAAAAAATTTTTACTAATCGTATCTAAAGTGTGAATTTTATTCATTTATTTATTGTTTTGCCTAGGCTTCTTAATACAAGTTTCTTCTCTAAACAATGCCTTATGAAATACATTCTAATTTTTTTTTCCGGTAGCCTAGACGCAAGAAAAGAAACCCCAAGAAAATGTTAAAGCAAAATAGAAACCAGCAGTTAATTTAAGGCTAGCAGATTTGGTGTTAGGAATTAACTAATACACCTCCTTTTAAGAAAAAAGACATGCACCATAACTACTTTGTTGAACAAAACATCACGATCCACATCAGAAAAAAAACCCCAAAGCATTTTCAAATCAAATTATAACTTACCCTGAAAGTTACCCACTCGCATGTTTTACCTACTACTTACTCGTAAGAAATACAGGGGAAAGGAATGCCCCTTTCCATATTTTTCAGAATATACAGTATAAATATAGTAGGAGTCATGCCATAAAACTATATGCAAAAATTGCACACTATTATTGCATGCGTGTTGTGATACTACATGCCAACGAACATCAGCTCGCCGATCGTCCCGTCGTTGTTCGTACTTACAGCGCAGCCACCGCGACCGAGGGGATGCTCCTGCCTCCCGGCGCGCCGGGGACCACAGAGTTCAGCACACATACGGCTGGTGGAGGGCCTGCTCTCCTGCCCACGCTGCCCTTGCCAGTAGGAGTTCAAGCTCTAAACGACAGCCAGAAGTCCCGTCGGGTTATGTAAACCGATCCGAATTCATTTTTCGCAGTTTGGGTGGAAGGTTCCCTTCCATCCTGCCGCCGCCTGACAGCTTCTGCAGCTTGGGCGGCAGGTCGGCCACCGACTGGCTGATGGGATCCGACATCATCTTTGTGGTCTTAGACACCAGTTTCTCCTCCGAATTCCCGGGGACCGAGCTGATCCGCTGGAGTTTCATGGGTAAATCCCCCATGCTGTAGGCCTTCTCAGAGGTGGTGGAACTCATCCTGAGGAGTTTTTTGGGGAAGTCTTCCCTCCCAGTTATTTTCTGCAGTTTTGAAGGTAGTTTTGTGCCAACTTCGTCGAGACCATCCAGGCACTCCACCGAGTTATTCCTTTCCTTGCTGTTGCTCACAGCGGGCGCTATCAAGGGAGAGGACATGAGCAGCATCTCCTCCTGCTCCTTCACGCTGTACGGCGGGGTGGGGACCTCAAACGTCGCGTGGAACTGGGAGTAATCGACTTTAAAGAACCCCTCTTCCAAGGAGATAACAGGGAAGAAACGATGACCCCAGAGCACCTCGTCCTCGGTATAGGATGTCCTGGCTTGGCATGTCATCCCTGCAATGAGCAAGGGAGAAAAACTTTCACCACTTATGGACAATCGGGGATGCACACAGATCTTGGGTTTTTTTTGAACATTTCAATGAAACATATTTTATGTTTTTAGATGTATAAAAGAAAAGGCATTGGCATGCCTACCATTTACATACAGTAGCTATTAAATTGTCATCCTCAAGGTGAAAGGAGCCAACAATAGAGGAAGGAGTGTAACTGCATAATTCACATCTACTAGTATGGACACTTTTGAAGGTGCTGCTGACAAAGGGAAATACAGGGCTAACTGATAACCCCGGTACTAAATTAGCAAGAGCTGCTAATTGTAATGTAAAGTTGGACTTGTCAGGATCTTAAAGTATCACTAAGTTAGTCCGTATTTTCATCATATTGACGAATGCATACAAAACCAGACCCTACACTTTATGCATCGTATGCACAAACCAAGCCCGTGTTAGTGCATTCCAACCCACCAGCGAGCAGTAGGTATGTTCTATGAAATACATTTATTCTTCTTTAAGGGCTTCACCAGCAATCTGCTCACAGATCCATCGCTGCCAGGCTGAGATCCAAGCCTCAAAAAATTAGCAGGGAAGAAGAAATATGACTAAGAGGCACAACACTGCCCTTCCTCTTCCTCCACCGCCGCCCACCGTGGAGAAAAGTCCTCCTCCAGAGCACCCAGACTTGGCCATCCCGGTGACCCATCCGACCTCAGAAATCAGAGGGAAATTGTGACCGTGGATCGCTGGAGGAAAATCTAAAAGATCCCGCTGCTTCTTTTTTTTATTTTTTAAAATGGTATCTGTAGCAATCTGTAAACAGAATTACCCTGCCATTTTATCCTAGTATAGCAAACTGGAAATATGACATTTGGTTTTCAGGAAGCTAAATCTACCTCTGCAAACACATCCTCTGCCTAGCTGGCAAGAATGCCTTTAAGTCAGGAGAAAATTAGAGGAAACTTTGGAAGGCACAGGAAAAACGATAGCAGGGCTGTAGCGAGGGGGATTGAGGGATGGATATGTGCCTGGTGACATACAGCCAGAAAAATAAAATCTTATTACACTTTATGTTACTGCTAATGGAATCCAAGTTTTAGTTTTGCATAGCTATTTCTACTGCTAATACGTCTGAGTGTATCACAAGACATAAAACTCAGTTTTCTGTTTTATCTCTTAGCAGAAAAATATGAACCCAGGGGTGTTTTTTTTGCACTGAACACCGCTCCCACCGCCCGTGAAGGTGCCTCACCTGAGCTCACACACCTGCAGGAGCATACCCTGAGACCAAACCATCCTACCTCCTTCCCACAGCCTCAGATAGGACACTATTTTATACCTTACGACGCATTTTCACCTGGTCACCATGTGTTTCAGTTCTGTTTACTAAGTGAAGTGAAAGCAATCACATACCTAATGGGTTTAGAAAAAAATGCAATTTTTAGAAAAATGGTAATTAGAGTGAGCACTTCTTCCATCTGTGTCCTTTACTCTGCAGCTGTTCATTAGCTGTACCTTCGCCGCAAAAGCCCAGACCTTTCCCCCTCTGCTTCTTCAGACCTGACTTCCGAGGGAGACCTCATTAGCGAATGAACGCAACTAATAATGCATGCAAATGGCGGGAGCCGCACTTGGAATTGGGTCTACGGCGCCTGTGGAGCAGATGGCTGGTTAACTCCAGTGACCTACGCTTTTGATAACAAATTGCTTAAAATGCAAATCTCTCTGTATAGAAAAGTTGATAATTGTCGACTTCGCTGCGCCGCTGGCTTTGCTGAGGGGGTTGGAGCCGCACCTCTGGCGTGATCCCGTGGGAACACCGCCGGGGCGGCCACCCCGGCCACAGCCACGCTGCTCTGCAGAGAGCTGATTGCTGCGGGGAAATGACTTGCACGGCTTCTTCTTTGTGTTGGCAGCACTAAAAGAAAGAATTAAGCTTTATTGTAAACGGTGCGCTATCAAAGTGCTATGGGGGGTGTAGCAAGGGGCGTGGGGGGAATGCGTGGGGGTCAGCAACGCTGCCAGGGCTCGGGGAAGGGGACCAGTGCACAGGACCAGCTGGCACCTGCATCCGCATCCCCATCCGCAGCCGCAAGAGATGCCGTGGCCGATGCTGCACGCCCAGGGCAATGCTGGGGCACGGGACCCGCCGCCTGCCCGGTTAGGCTCTCCCATCCCCGCCAGCCGCCGTGCTATTTCTACCCCCCAGTCCATCATCCTGCCATCTACCAAACCTGCTGCTGCCAGAAGGCTTTCAAAGGAGGAATTTTATACCTGCTTACTATCGAAAAATGTATTAGCTGAATCAGATCAGCTCCACATTTTGTTGCATTGATGTAACCCTTTGTAAGCTCACCTGAGAGAGAGAAACATTTGCAGGTATGTAATTTTTCATTAAAATCAATTTATCTTATTCACTAACAAACCCGAGGGTGCAAATTACTTGATAGCCTCTCAGGATGAACAGCAGCGACTAATACGCTTGTCTTTATAGGGAATACCTGTCACGCTAAGCAGATGACGCTAAGAGCTGCTAACGTGCTCTGATAAGCCCTTGGACAAGAAATCAATGCTCAGGTTTTCTTCCAGCTCCGCTGCGTTTCCCGGCTCTTCCTTCCCTTTCCGTTTTCTCAGCAAAGCCTCAGACTCCCAGCTACGAGCTTTGCAATGCCTTTCTGCTATTACACGCTTCGAGCAGCCAGCTAACAACGGCCCCGGCTGTAACCATCTCCTTTGTACTGTTACAGCAGTAACGGAGTTGCAGAAGGCACTTGATGACCAGAGCCATTATCCACGTCCTTGCGCAGAACAAGCGGCAGCTCTTCACAAGTGTCCTAACGCACGGCCCGTGCTCGCTCCTTTGGGAGAATTAAAGCTGGAAACGGCGCTCGGGAGAGGCACGGTCCTCGGGGCTGCCAGCCAGGACAGTTAACAGTGTGTACATCCCGCACCGGGAGCACCTCATCTCGCTCAGGGCATCCAAAAGCCGTTACGCTGCTTCCCACAGCAAGGGTAAAACTAACCACAGCCGAGGCAGGTTCATCCTTCATAGAATCATAGAATCATAGAATCATTAAGGTTGGAAGAGACCTCCAAGATCATCGAGTCCAACCGTCAACCCAACACCCCCATGCCCACTAAACCATGTCCCTAAGCGCCTCATCTACCCGTCTTTTAAATACTTCCAGGGATGGGGACTCAACCACTTCCCTGGGCAGCCTCTTCCAATGTTTAACTACTCTTTCAGTAAAGAAATTTTTCCTCACATCCAATCTAAACCTCCCCTGGCGCAACTTGAGGCCATTTCCTCTCATCCTATCACCAGTTACTTGGGAGAAGAGACCGACCCCCACCTCGCTACAGCCTCCTTTCAGGGAGTTGTAGAGAGCGATGAGGTCTCCCCTCAGCCTCCTTTTCTCCAGGCTAAACAACCCCAGCTCCCTCAGCCGCTCCTCAGCAGACTTGTTCTCCAGACCCCTCACCAGCCTCGTTGTCCTTCTCTGGACACGCTCCAGCACCTCGACGTCCTTCTTGTAGTGAGGGGCCCAAAACTGAACACAGTATTCGAGGTGCGGCATCACCTCGAATCACCTTCGCCCACAGCATCAGCGTGGCCGGGGGAAACACAGGGCCCGCAGCTCGGCTCTCCCCTTACTTGCACCACGAGCTGCATCTTGAACAGGCTGCCTGCACAGGAAAGCACCAAACCAAAATCAGCCGGTATTTCCACGTTTTCCTATAGAAAAAGCAGGACCACCTGGGTGCAACCCGCCGCTGACAGCCCTTCTTGATGACTACCTCAGGATTACTTTCCATTAATTTACGCTCAGGTAAATACAGGCCTCTTATTTTAATGCAAATGTAGTTTCTTTCTGACCTTTAAAAAATAAGATGCATAAAGCAGCAGGAGGCCGGCAGCCGCGCTGGGACACGCCAAGGCGCAGGCAGGCGCAGGGTCGGGCTGCTGACGGACACCTACCAGGGGACTGCACGCTGCGGTGGGCATGGGCTCACGCCCAACAGCGTCTAACAGATCAGGCCATTAACGTCCGGCTAGTAAGTTTTCCTCTCCTTCTGTTGGTATGAAAGGCTTTTCGGGTTTTTGCGCTGTTTTTTTCCCCTAAGAAGTTATTCATCAGCAGGGTACGCAGCCAGCAGATCCTTCGATGCCTTCATCATGTTAATGGGCCTGTTAAAATTTTACCAAGATGTCTATATTATTAATATTCATTTGCAGTATAAATTTTAAACTCTCGTTTGGAAGCAAACACGCCGTATGCAGTGCATATAATTAAAAAGCCATCCATTTGTCAAAGTAAAAGGTTTCGATGCATTTTGTTCATCGCTCCTAACACACGCTTCCATCACGAAGTGCTCTCCAGAGCTGTTAACGGCCGGTGATTGCAATGCACATTAGCAAAGCTCTGCCTGCACACAAATCGCAACAACGCACCTGAAAGAGAGGTACCCTTACGCATATATTCCAGCATAAAGCCCAAACCAAATGTCCAGTACAAACCTTCTCTATTACTTCAAAAACAGAGGCTGCAAAAACATTGCTCCCTATGTCCAAGGGAAGAGATTTTCATGCATAAGCACTGCTCCTAAGGGGGCAAGCAATGCTATTTTGTCTGAATACCCCGTACTTCCACAAAGCTCACCCCTGTGTATTTGGGACCACCCCTACCCAGATCATCTCTCGCTGTTTCCAGGAATTATATTCCTTCTGCAGAAACCAGGAGCTGACTCTGTTTTCAAAGTATTATGAATAATGAGCTTAAAGGAAGGCAAGGGCAAACTTTTGGGACTCATCTCCTCATGGGCAGAGGCTGAAATGGTGTTAGAGTGAGTTTAGTATTAGGCATCATTAGAAATTTTGCTGCTGATTAAATTCAATCATTTACACCCACCCGTAGTGATCTGGCATCCCTCTGTAGAGTCTGGCACATAATGCCACAGTCCGTAACACAGGAAAATCCCAGCCACGCATGGGATTAATTT